ACAGACTTACTAATCGCCCCGATGCGCTGAAGGTACAACTGAACTTTGACGAAGACCGCGAGGTGTGGTCCAACAACAGTTCTCGATGTACCGTGATGGTGCACTCACAAACAACACTAAGATACCTCATCCAACGATGAATCAAAATACCGTGAGAACGCAGCGTCCAAGACAAAGATAGTTCTAGTTATCTTGCTTACTGCCAAACAATAATCGGATGATCACCGCTGATCTTGCAAAGACATATCTAATGTAACCTTACTCTCGAGTTCTTAAGGCCCCTCACACGCCTTCGACGAAAAGACCTCATACCGATCAGACGTTACAACTAATTAAAGACCACGACACACACTAGAAATGAACTCATCACTGTAGAAAGAAGACCCATTCCTCAAGAGCGCCTATCATCGTTCTGGCAGTAAACATCGAGTTCATATCACAATCACTTCATTTCCATCATTTAACTGCGAACTCTGAAAAATTTGCGAGAACGATCGATACCTATCCTAATCACAAAAATAACTTTCATTCCCAAAAACTAACCACAGTGGGCAATATTTTGACCAAGGGAGGATTATGACTCGCGCACAGCACAATACCTACACGTCTTAACACTAAAGAACTTTCCCACAATTAGCGGATGAGAGTAGTAATGCGCTACAAGCAAAAATATTGTGCATATCCACGGCTCAGGTGGCCAGGACCATAAAAGAATACCTTGTTCCAGTGGCTCAGACCTGAATTTGACGTCAGAGGCAGTGTCTACGTCTCGCTAGTCCCTATGATCTCTTATCGCCGCTCCACGTCCCGACAGTCAGCGTTTTTCATTAACATAGTTCTACAGTACTTAGAATATTGTTAAAATTCAGAGGAGGCCTCATCAAGGCGTGATTGCAATTCCTCTTCCTTTGTTGTATGACATAACCGAAAGGAATATGCAAAGCTAAAAGTATTAACGCATAACGGCGTTGATCAATCCCAATTGCGCCACGCATTCCACTTCTCTTTCAAGTCGTGGTGGCGCTTCGAATGCGATTTGACGAAGTGAGCAAACCAACCCTTTTGGCTTTTCTGCTGGGGCCGTATGCTGAATGTTAGGAAGGGTCCCCGACGGCGATCCGGACTACTCATCACTATCAGTCTCCATAATCCTGTCTACAATTTACTGACTATCCATCACGACTTCAAGCCTTTAAAATGCACGAGACGGTCTCTGCGATTCAAAACAATTCATCGCGCCACGTCCGTCAAACATTCGCTCTACAGGCAGCCTGCTGAACGTGAGTCTCAACCAACACAAGCCCTTTTGCATAGCTGTTGACTCTATCTGGCACCACTTCGTCATCACTCTCCTCTACACTACGAACGAGTTCTCAGTAGTCTCGCAATACACAAACAAAACAATTCAAAAAAACCAATCCAGAGTGCATCCTTCAATAAGAACCCCCTGCCTACAAACTAGCCACTCTACAAGAACTATACGTCCCCAGCACAAAATCCGCAAAGGGCTGGTTTACCCTACCTCCGATTTGGCCCATACAATACTGGGGGGGGGGTCCGTCCAATGTACCAGTCAGCGATTTGGCCCCTCCTAGAAACTCTGGTACCTACCCGAGGGAACGGACGGCTTTCGCACCGGACGACCACGAGTCGGGATTTGATCCCTGACCGTGGGCGTGGTACGCAACGCTGACCGCCACTAAACCCCTCGCTCAATATCAAAATGCCAAATTAACGATTACAATGTAGCAGCCATTTTCATACTTGTCTTTCCGTTCAATGAGTTATTTGATTAACTCGTTAACACGTTGACGACATCGCATGTTTTGGCATTTTGCACCTCGTGGGACAGGAGCGATTTTGCGACCGCGCCGTCCTCACCTTACTTCCGCTTATTTCTTGTTAAAAATGCACAATAACTAGAATTTCATAGGACTATTTCGACAAGGATGAACGTATAAAGGTTAACTGTATAAGTAGCAGTAGGTTTTTGTTTAGAAGAGTGCATAATGACCACGAAGAAGTAAAAAACACGCTTTCGCTGCGAATGAAATTAAAAGCATTTGTATCTAAGTATTTCCATCACATGCAAATATATTGAAACTCACAGAGTTTTGTATTAACTAACACCTTGTGATCTTATTCAATTTAAGCATAACGATCCAGGAAAGAATTGAAATGAAAGTTTTGTGCGTTCGGAAATTTTTGCTAAATCATAGGATACTTGACCACTCTGGCTGCCAGGCGGTTTATAGTTATGCTAATGTATTATCTATAGAATGAATACAAGAAACCCGAGAAGAAGGAGCGCAAGCACGATAAAAATGAATAACACAGACTTGACGCGCTTGCGCGTCAGGATGGGGGAGTCGATTCGGTCGAATCTTGAGCGAAATGCCGTCATCTTGTCGTCAACAGGGTGTTCAATGAGTGGGTGCTATGGCGTCTTCGTCATGTTTCTGCTGTTAACTGAAAAACATCGCTGATAAACGAAATCCTTTGAAATGGAAAGTTGATGGTCATCACTCGATCCAATTAAGAAAGCGATGTCTCTTATCTCGTTCACAGCCCTTCCCTTACTTTCTTCATATTTGATTATTTGTACGATTTCGTAATCTAATTCATGCACGACGAAACCAGGACAGCGAATGACGTCGCCCGAAAAGACCCTGATATCACAATAGGACATGTTTGCCTACGCCAACCGTGATAAAATGAGAATCCAGACACGTACCTGGAACTCGCTTAGAAAGGAATCTTCCGCGGAAAAAGCTCCGCCTCCATTACCACAAAAAACGATACCCCTTAGGCCCCTAGCCTCATGAGCATAGCAAAAAGAACGGAACATAAGCGTTAGTTTCGATAATACTAATCCTACACACAAGACAAAATGATCACTCTTTCCGTGGAAGATTCCTTTAAGGTATCGTTTTCTGTGGTAATGAGCGGAGCTTTTTCCGTGGAAGATTCCTTTAAGCCCAGTACAACAGGTGGTTGGTCGAAAGGCTGCAATCCCCGCTTCGCTTCCCACTTTGGAGGCCGTCGCCCCTAGACAAGACTAGAAGTGTGCTGAACAAAAACTAACCTATAAAACCGCTCCGGTAGGGAGCAAAGTGGCGTGTCGGAATCCGAGGGGATTGCAGTCGTTTCCTACCACGCCCACCCTGCTGGAACTGTCGCTTTGAATTTGATCAGTTCCGATCACGTGGAAGACCTTCGATAATTTCGGATAAATGCAATGGGAAAAAAACAATTTTGAAAATTCTCAACAAGTTTTATAGAAGGTGGGCGGGACGCGGATCGCTTCTCGAGTGCATCAAGTCCTTTCAACAGTACAATTCAAAGGATTGAATCCTAATAAGATCCAGAAGTGCCGTCTTTATGAACTCGGTTGTTTAGTGGTAATCGTCAGGAAGGGCAAAACCTTAAACACTCCCCGGCTCACGCAGGTCATTGCAAAGGCTAGGATAAAGTTCTCCTCTCCAGCAGCGGCGAAGCGTAATAGCATTAATTTGTGGGTGGGGTCAATGGTGTTGGGTGGGGCCAATGCTGCATCCTACGGCTTTGCGCTTCAACCCCTTATCAAATCATACCGACATTAGTGTACAAACTCCCCGCTTGTGAACAACAGCGTTTCTCGGGAAAAGGTTTAGCTTCGACCAAAGGTCCCAAATTTGCCTCAAACAGGCGGAGACGGTTGGACACCTCCTTAGTGGAAGAACAGCGTCACCATCCGCCCCCCCCCCCTTTTTTTCCACCAATAATGTGTCCAACTTGACAAACCTTCTAAGCCTTTCAGCCATCGCCACCATTACCTAATTATGTCTTTAAAGTTAACCAGAACATCAACCAACCAGGCTTCACTGCACATCTGGTCCGATGTATTTATGAGGTCGTTTATTTGGTAGCAGTCTTTTCAGAAAGGGTGAAAAGATCCGCATCCCTGTATTTCATCCTGTGCCTTGAAAGGAGACATCTGAAAATCATATATTTATTCTATCATGATCGCATCTATGTATGTAAACAAAGTAAAAATAGCATAATAATCCATAACTATGCCATGCCGAGCAGCTGCATATCACATCAATCAAGGAGCTCAAAAACAGCCAGCAGTGCGACAAAAACCGTTTCCAAATTTTCTAGTAGTCCTTCCTAGTAGTCATCCCACCCGCGGTAGCTAGTCTTGGACGCGTGCGGTCGCGACACGGACTTTAGCGTTGCAATTGAATATTGGGCTTACGTGATGTCTACGTCTAGAGTCAGAATAATTAGAATCTTGCCACATTAGAAAAGATCACACCTTTCATCCGCCCCACACTTCTGATCACGCAACGCGACCGCACGCGTCCCATGCCAGCACCCTCGGTCACATACACTAACGATGATGAGCACACCCATATACCTCTAACATAAAAACGCGAAAACGATTCTTATCACAGTTACAATCTCTGAAATATAGCGAAAGAAGTGAAATCAATATCGAACTAATTAATAGGTAATGCCTGAATGAATTATGAAAAGTATGAACAGACACCCTTCTGAGGGATTAAGCATGTCGAAATACTTCATGAAGGCACAGCGAAACATTTGAACAATGACCATCGTTAAACCTTTCAAAAAATTGACAGCTTAGGGTCTCAAGAGACTTGCAACTGAGGCACTTCACATACCATACACCAAAAAGAAACGATCAATAATTAAAATCGATCAATCGAATCACACAATCAAACTGATGATATGTAGACTAGAATCGATGCGCTGCTCTGTAGTGCTGTATCGATTTTCACAGAAGCACACCGGAGAAATAAACGTTCACAACCCGAAATCACAACATCAGAGTAATACTAGTAAGCTGTGACCCCAAAAATTTGAATAAGCTGCACATGTGAAAAGAAGTTACCAACTAAAAATTTCTAAAAATTCTTCAATATTGCGTATGACTGAAGGAATTCAAGGGCATACATAGTGGATGAACAATTCGATACGCGAAAAGAACTAGTTCAGGATTCATTGGATCGATTTCCACCCAACGGAAACATGATCATATTGGCTCGCAAAAAGTCAAGATCTGGCAATTGATCGTGTAGGGCACGCGCGTCCAACGATAACTCAGATGGCTGCCGACTGTTGCGTTTTGATGTATTTGTGGCCGACGCCATCAACATGTCCAACATTGTTCTGTATTAATATAAGTGAAATCAAAAAAAAAAAATGTGTCAATGAAAACTGAACAAAAATTCAACAAAAATCAGACTCACGGTTGACTAGCCGGTTTCCGTAATGTGGGAGGTTCAGTGGATGTGAGCCCGAGCTGATCTAATTCTTTCTGTAAAGTGGATATAGTTGACGAACAGCCGCCTCCACTATTTGCCGAAAGAAAGTCCACGTCAAGAAGAGCAGAAGAACGATCTGAATGATACAGCAGTTCATGACAAATACTTAAAGAACATTGTTTTTAGATTGCAGACGCCAAAACATCAGGTAAGGCATTGGGTACTGGACGACTCACAAGCTGCATAAGCAAATAGCCCACAATAACGCATTAAAATGTCTTTCATTGGTCTGGATCGCAGCTCGGCTGCGGGGGCGTTCCTTGGTGCTTTCACATTGTACCTAGAGGGAATAGAAAATGGCGTAAGCTTGCACCTACGAGTTTTAATGAGTGCATCAGATAGTCTAAAGCCGGCAAATTAGTTATAAAGTTTTACTTTCACCTTGAAATTGAGCCTGACCTAAGGACTTATAATCGTAATATTGGTGGAGTAGATGATCTTAATCTAGAGGATGGGGCATAAATATGGTGACAAGACTGAACCACAGCACATGCACTTACTAAACAATGTGCAGGGCTCGTGACTAAAAACATGAAATTCGCCATAGTCTTTTGTATATAAGCCTTTGTTTCCATGGCTCCTTTATCCTTATTTGGTGATGACTCCACTTGATCCAAAACGACTGAGATTCCCAAATTCCCACGTGCCACGCTGCCAGGTGGATTCTTTTCGAGATCTGCTATTTCCGGAGGGTGCATCGCCAAGGTCGTCACACAACTCTCTATTAGAGCACACATAATAGTCTTTCTCATAGAGAACGATCGCCTACGGAAGCCATATCGCCAAAAAGGGTATCCACCAGAATTTAGTGGGACCGTGAATTGGCTACAGATTGTGAACTGAACCTTTTAGCATCTTTGCCAATCTTCATCTCATTTCCTTTCAACTCGTTCAGGAGTAAAAACCTCAGGCCAGATGTATAAGACAGCATTTTGGAGAAAAGCTCCCGCTATCTTCACTACTCATAACCACTGGATTGACTAGCAAGGCGTCTGCCGACTTATGGAATAAATTTTGTGGAAGTCTGCTGCAGATCCCATTTCTTCGACTTCGAGCTGCTCAAAGATTGACCAACCAGAACCTCGATTTGAATGTAGCGAATAATTTACTGTGGTCGATATTGAAGGTGAAGAAGTGCGCGAAACAACTCAGTTCGGATGGACCTCTAACAGCTGCTCTTCAAAAATTATGAGATGAAGTTTTGAAGGATGTCTGCGGGCAAGGGCCATTTTCTGTAGGGAAAGTTTGAAGAAAATATCCAAGTTTGTAGGCAACCATTTTGAATAGGAAATGTTGACAATTGTTTGAAAGAATATGGCCATACATTGCTCAAGTTGATATCCGTTTCGATTACTCTGGTTCGAACTGGGCCGCAATCCTTTTGTCACCATATTTATGCCTTTGTCACCCTGTATATGACGACGAAAGAATCGCCAAACTTGAAGCATTTTTGAGTCGCTTCAGTGTATTTACATTAGGGAAAAATAACACAAGATCTACTTGCACAAATTGCACAAGCCCCAATCAATGGGTTGGAATGACAGGAGTTGATGGAGAGAGGCATCTTCCATGAAAACAATTGCTCGAGAGCATCTAAACGCGGGATCCAAGAGCTGGGGCACGATCCTTGTACTAAGCTGCAAGATAACATCTCTGAAAGAGACTTCTGTGCCAATAAAATTTTTTTGCGGTCACCGTCAGTGAAGTGGAGGCCATTGTTTCCACCTAATTCAACAATTCACGCAACTTCTACCAGAGAGAGTGGAAATAAATTTTATGAATGATAGGAACGTACTGCAGCTTTCGTTGGGTTATCAAGTCCGATGTCATCCCAAGTTCAAAGTCGGCATTGCTGGAATAGACGGTGACTCGCGGGTTACAGCTGAAGTTAGTTGCCTGTGAACACGTGGTTGAACGGGAAAGATCGGAAGGCACGACTTCGCACTAAGCTCCTTCTCTGAGCAGGATTATAACCGATTCGACGCCTGCAATGGAGACAATTGAGCTTGAAACACATGAAAAAACGGCTTTCTCGATCAAAAAACGAAGAAATAACATTTCTTAACCATTGGCCGCATGTCAGACTTGCGATTGGAGCGATGTGCCAAAATTGCAGGGCCTGCAATTTGTGCACAATCGCCCCAATCGCAAAGTCTGACATCGGCCATTCCTGCAGCTTTTCGATGCCATAGCCATGAGATCGGCCGCTTACGGGCAGGCTTAGTAAAAATTGCAGATGTGATACCATAGGTTTTTCTGAATTCTACAACAAGTCACCTACTATACCCTATTTAAATACCATGCATACCCGCAAATAATTTAGTATCCCAGCAGCGAAGCAACGATGTGATAACTGTTTCACAGACGGCGTACATGGTGGGACAACGGGCGAGAGAGGGGAGGAAGGAGCAAAAGAGTTAAAAAGCAGAGTACAGAGCATAAAAACAGCGTGTGAAACATGTCCCTTGAAGAGAGAGGTTGATTCTGGACAAGAAGCATCAGACTGAGTCTTAGCGAAGGTGTCCGAGGAGTGATTTAAGTGTCGGAAACTTTTAGCACTTGTAGGCAAGAGCAAAATCACTATCGATCCCTTTGAAGTCGCAGATGAGCCATACCATAACATACTGATGACGGTGATGTCCAAAAGGCAGAAGTCATTCCCCTCTAAATTTAAAATAGAATCAACCCTCCTTCGCAGAATTGGAACGCCACTTATAGATAGAAAAGTATCATCAATTAATCGATGAAGCATGTAGGAGCTTCAGGCTGTAGCAATTAGAGCCGGCGTTAATTGACTCGACGTGAATCAAAGGACATCATATTCCCATGAAGGTGAGCAGTGAAGGGGAGGTTCGCTTCTGCTATGAGGAACATATAAGGAATGCTTTGCCATAACTGCTGCACGCTTTTCCTCAGAGGACATTTGACCATGGGAACTGCATACATTCGTCACCCTCTGGGCGCCTAGATTTATTATGCTTCACTACGGTTCCTCGCTCTCCCGCCCACGGAAGGTAAGTGAGAGAATTAATGTAAAGCTATAAAAAAACAAAATCTATCTCAAGGTGGGAGAAAAGCAGACACGGATAGTGCAAAAAACGAACGTGGTTCCATTAGCAGTGAACGGTGTTGGTTCCAGAACAGTGGACGTTGAAAGCGGAGGTAATGAGCCGCGTCCAACAGCATTCTGAACAACCATAACGGAATGATCACGCAATTAAACGTCGTAAGAAGTACAAAAGAATATACAACATTCTACACCTGAACCGGATCAACGCGCAAGGTTTTGAAAAGGTTCGATCCATGCTCTGATCCCTTCCACTCGAATTTCAGCGCTAAAGCATCCTCAACTATAGCGTAGAGCTAGCCATAAGTCGAAACTTCTAAAACAAAAGTATAGATGGCAGAAAAATTTGACTGTTAGGATGCATTTACTTGTACATGAAGATAACACACATAGCCATATAGGCTCCTCTGGGCATAGTACTATGGTTGATGTCAATGCCAATACAGGTTTACACGAAAACATGAAGAGAAAAAGCCAAATGGACTAAAGAAAGGCTCTAGGTGGTCACTACTGTGAGAGAAATCTAATGTAAATCAAGCAATGATATTGGTAAATAAAAGCACCCCAGAAGATATGAATCAAAATCTTCGGTATTATTTCGAATGACATTGCTAACCTATGGAAAGATGTGTCGATTTCTTCCTTCGTTGATGCATCCAAATCAAGCATTTTAGTAATACTGTAAGCCTTAAAAACAATAATAAAACCTTAATAAATCTCAGCCAGTGCATCAACGCTCTCATTGAGCACTGCTTAATAGCTACCTATCACATGCGATTTCGACTGTTTAATTCACAAGTAGCATAGAAATCGACCACAACTCGTCTAGATGGGAGCAGGATTCCTTTCAAAAAGATAAACTTCTCATGCGATTTAGAAATAATGCAAGGAAGGTATAGACTAAAAGCTCAACACTTTCGGGCAACGTGGCATCTTCAGCTATTGGCGCTTCATTAATTACTTCCTCATTCGGAGAAGCCTCCTCGAACGCGCCAAAATCTGCCGACCAGCCTTCTGAAGTGACTTTTGAAATTGTTAAAAAAAGAAGAGGATATACTGAAAAGCTCACCACTGATTCACCTTCTTTTCACTGCATCAAAAGCATTCCATTCCTCAGGTTCAACGTCTTGAGATTGCGTGCGCGAAGGCTAAAGAAAATTCGACGTAACGTAAAAGATTAAAAAAATAAACAGTTCAGTCAACAGGAACGCTTAATCAACTTGAGTGCCTGCGAGTCTGTTTTTCTCATTTCAAACCAGACAAGGCATGGAAAAACATTCTGATTAACGTACCGGCTGCCTTACCAAACCATATTGATCCGGCTCATTGCAACCCTCAGCACTGTTTTCTTTTGGCGGTAACTCCGACGACGAACCTATAAAAAATGAGCAACGCTAAAAAAAAGTTGAAAACTGGAAGTTTAAACTGGCTCGATGAAAAGAGAAAAAGCAACTCTTCAAGAGAAACTGGTAAATTCAACATTTTATGACTGAAATACTGCTTAAAGTGGCAAACTAAGAAATCTAAGAAAACCAGGAAGCACTCCTAAAACGTGGAAGAAAATTTTATACAAAAAAAACGTGAAGTGAAGAAGGTCGTTTACAAGTGAAAACGAGAAAAAATACAAGTAATTTCACTAAAAGCTATTCAAACAATATATTTTACTAAAGCAATGAGCATAGTCAATTCGGTTGCAGGTTCCAATCACTCCGAGTGTGAGTGAATGAGTACCAGTTCACTCTTTTTATGTTAAAATGCGACTGTGTAAAAGCTTAAGGTAATGTGGAGCCACGTTAAGGACGAAAAATGAGTTCATTCGATTGTGTAAAGCAGAACAGCAGGAACTGTCATGGCGATATAACGAAAACACCCCGATAAAAACCCAAAGTAGAAAAAAATGAAACAGCATGGGCTGAGAAAACACATATGGAGCTGGTTTGATGTCTCACATTCTATTGAGGTCCAAAAAGCGTGGGGAACACGCGTGATTTTCGAGTCATTCCGAGTCCTTGGTGAAGAAATGCAAAAATTCAGCAAAACTCATGTTAAATTGTCGTAATGTTACCGTGTTCGTACTAGCAGAGATTATCGGCGAAAATAATAGTGACTTCAACAGCAGCAGAAAGAAGGGTTGTATTTGACTTCAAAATGTCAGCGACACACTCTTGTGCGTGTTTCAAATAGTTTTTGATGAGAAGGAAATTATTACGCAAACTTAAGAGCGTCTTTATATACTAGCTGTCGATGAATGTCCGCTTTCTTCAAAAAAACTCTTCACATCAGGCGAGAATTTTGGAAGAAAAAAAACATAAAAACAAAGCACTAGGAATAGGAACAGTTTTTACTTTAGGATAGATTAGCAGAAACTGAAAACAATCCAAAAGGAAATAATGCAGATACTAAGGTAAGGAATCTTCACGATTAACCACTGCTGCAATAAAAGCATACCTGCAGGTTCTGGATGAGGAATATCAGTATCGATTCCAGCAAAGTCACCGAAATCGTCGTCAAAGTCATCTTCTCCCTCGATGTTAACGCCTGCTGACCTCTCTTCCTCCTCGTCGTCTGCTAACCTGTCTTCTTCTTTGTCGTCAGCAAGAAAGTCCGAAGCAGTTGGTATGTCTTCTAAAGACCAAACTTTGAACGTTGAATTCAGATGGAAAGCTGCTTCCAGTTAACATACCTTCATCGTCTGCTATCCCATTCGTACAATGATCAGGATTTTGATCATCAGACACCTCAGTGTGGCACTCTACATTTGAATGCGGTGATTTTTGTTTAACTGAACAAAGACTGGGGGCAGGAGAAGACACTGTGCTGGAAGTGCAGGGCAGATCAGAAGGAATTTCGAGTTCCCGTATACTGTCGTCCTCGTCGTCGACTGTAAGCCGAGCGTCACATTCCGAATCCGGAGGCTCCTCCAACGCTCCAACGAATGGTGGTGGAGCCTCAAAGTCCATCTGAACAAAATAAAATCAAGCAATTTTCTTGAAATTTTTGTTTATCTATCTTCTCGAAAAGAAAGAAGCCATCGGCGTTACAAAGACAACACAAAAAGCTTCGTTAAGAGAGTGGGAATGAAATTTATACGATTTTCATGAGATATAGTGACAATCGCTAAAGTTTGATTGTAACATTAACAAATAGGAGAATCAGTCCATTAGAGGGCATATTCATAGTCAGTAGTCCTATCGCAACGATCGTGACGATCGCAAAGCATTGGATTCGTATCGGTCGTTCAATGGACACGGCTGACGATAGATGTGCGACGGTCGATCGTACGAACGATTATGAATGCGTCCTTAGGCTGGTGTCAGAGTCCGCGATCCGTCGCAAGTTTCGCTGATTCTCGCGATTTGCGCGATTGACGCGATTTTTGCGATTTGCGCGAAACTTGCGACGGATCGCAAGGGGTGAATGGTTGATGGGAATAGGAGTGCTATAGCATACAACCTGCTAATGAAGCCTCCACTTACGACTAATCATGAAACAAAAGTGTCGAAGTGTAAAAATTCTCAAGAAATTTCGCTCAAGGAAGTTAGAAAGTTAGCACAAAAGTAAGAGTGGTGCAACTCCGAACTCAACAATTTTGAAACGAGAGAAAATCTCAGCTAAATCCTGGGCCGATGTTCATTTTACAAGGAAATTTCTTGGAAAAAAAAACTATAGAATGATCTTTCACATGATCAGAAAACTAAGACGATTGGGTGTGGGGGTCTATTCCAGTTAGGGGGGCATCATGGTGCGGTGACTCCCAAAAAGCTACGGTAACTCTGAGCCAGGGAGTGTAGCCAGCCTAGGGGGGTGGGGGTGAGGGCAGTCACTTGACATGCGTGAGAAGCTGGAATGTTCGAGTTTACATTAGCGCTCGCAAACTTGCATCATGATGCCCCCTAACTGAAGTAGACCGGGGCGGTATTCGGCATCCTCCCCCAGGGGTATATTTCCCAGTACTCATTGAACGCATCGTTTTGTACTCCTTCTGACTAGTAAAGGACGCCATTCGTTACGGGTCCCACTGCCTCCTGCTACAGTGAACCCTTCAATGTGGAGCGGGGAATCCGTGAGCCAGGGGCAGTGTCGCCAGTCTAGGGGGGTGGGGGGTGAGGGCAGACACTTGACATGCGTGAGAAGCTGGAATGTTCGAATTCAACCGCGATCACATGGGATCCCCGCGGGTTAAGGCAGTGGGTCCCGCAACGAATGGCGCCCTATACTAGTCAGTAGGAGTACAAAATGATAGCAAAAATTCATCACCTAAAAAATCCATAACAGCATCCGAATACAGAGCTGAAAATCGATTATTGCTACCAGACCCTATGCTTCCAGCACCGAGACGCTGATAAAGCAACATGATGAGCAAATTTTGCTTCACATGACTAGAATAACATTTAGCTCCAGGGTTTTACAGAAGTGCAAAAGTAATCCTGCTTTTCTAACAAAGCCATTGCTGTTAAAAATCAGTAGACAGATCAATAAATTGGAAATTTTAACATCTAAACATTCAGCTGATCAAATAAAACTGTAAAACGTTTTGCACTGTGTCGAAAAAGGTCCTGCAGAGAATGCGCTTGCATAGCCATTTAAGGGAATGGATATTATGGATCGGGATAATTATGCATAATGAGTATGAGGATAGAAGTAAGGAAATAGGTAACGTGAATGAGCCTGAAATATTTTGAAGTGGACTGGAGCGTCCCAAATAGGAGGAAATGAAGACTTATCGAGATCGGGGTGGGGGCCATTATTTGACTGAACAGATTGCTGAGAAAAAAATTCCACAACCACGCTCAGGATAATTTCATAAGGAATTTAAGGACCTAAATAAGAAAGCCGTGTCAGAGGAAGCTCCCAAATGGGTAAAACGCCCACACAGATGAATTATGATATCGCTTGTGTGTTGGTTGAGTAGCGCGCAGCTCCCCGAGCTCCCTTGACAACGGCCGCGGGGGCTCCGCCCATTTTGCAAATGCTGCTTCGTTTTCGTTGGGGCAGAAGCTTGCCGGTTCGATATCGCCCCAGCCCGTTTGCCTGTTTACCGCCACTCATTTTCCTAATCTTTGCTGCCAATCGATTTATTTCCATTTATTAATTTGTCGCTAAACAATTAAACGTTCCAATTTTTGATATGTCTGAGTTTTAAGTTTCGCATTTCGTCGAAAACCCCCCGTCTTAACGGTCCTTATTTATTACTTCTCATCAACAATTTATCTACTAGTTCCCCTGAAACAGAAAAACGAACTGTATTGCCAAGAACTTAGATAACTCGTCCAAAACTTAACATTTCTACGGAGCACTTACAAATTTATTTTGCTTTGTGTACGGGCACTTTCATAGTTGGTCGTCCGATCGTAACGATCGCAAAGCATTGGATACGTATCGATCCGATCCGCAATGTCGCGACATAGACGATCGATACGGTATCTAATGGCCGTGCGTAGTTTTCATCGCTTTAAAATTCGGGACGAATCGACTACGAAATCCCTTAAAAGTTGTCCAAGTTCAGAATAGTGGACAGTACAACTGTCAGTGAAAACACATATGAGCAATGCTAGCAACACTACGCAACAAAAGTAGCGTGAAAAAATCAGTAACATCAGCCGCTTCATTGTCTTATGTATTAGATTGTATTTGTTTATTTATTTATGGACTATGTATCAGAATGGAATCAAATTAATACAGGTCAGATAAGGTCCATTGTTGATGTCATATTTAAGCAGGCTTACGATAGGGAGCGGAAGAGGGCAGACTGGTTAGGTTAAGGGTCTTTATAAGGCTTGAAGTTAGAACGTGCAGAAAATATGCATTTCCCGTAACAATTTTTTTTAAACCGGGAATCCTATACGACGGTCACAAATGATCAATCTACTTCTGGATCTCATTCCAGTTAGGGGGGGGGGGGGACACCATATGCAGCTTCTCGCCAACTTAGTGTAACTAGACATTCAGCTTTCACGCATATTTCAAGTGACTACCCTCACCCCCCCCCCCAGTTGTTGCATTTTTCAGTGTTTTCTGGCCTCGGAGTTACGCTAGCTTTTCCATGGAAACTGCATCATGTGCCCCTAGCTGGAACAGACTACTGATCACTCCTGAATTAGAAACTTCAATAAGAACCACGTGTTGAAAATTCCTTCAAAAACTCTGTGAGACCCGCAAAGCTACTAGTGATGATGAGCGCCAATTACAAATGCTTTTCTAAGGTTAGAAATTAAAATATAGTAGAGGAAGTCGAACCGCTCCTAGGTTCCCAGGGGGGAAGTATTTTGGTGCAGAGCTTATTAGATAAACCAGCTCCTAGAAATTTATAGAAGTTTCTAAATGAAAACAAATCCAATTGTGGAAAATTTGTAATATTTCTTACCTCATTAACAGTAGCGAATTGGCTAGCCTCCGTAAAAATCCAATTTCCGCTGTAAGTAATCGATCAAAATATTTCTGGTAACACTGATAGGCCTCAAGAAACTGTGAAATAGCGAAAACCCTCCAATAAAGGTTTTATAAAAAGAACTTTTGATAACGAAATTTTCAACGAATGCACGGTGCTAAATGATAGTGAAAATAGCAATAATGTTGTAAAAATGCTGTAAAAAGCTGACAACATCAAACAAAAACGATACTTTCATGAAAAGAAAAGCCTTTGGAGGGTTACTGGTGAAGTTAAACCTGGAAAAAAAGCTCCTGGTGCTTCATTGATTAAGTAACGACGGACCAAAACATGAACACCGGTAGCGAACGTTGAGGAAAATAGCTTCCCGACCGACCACCCAAACAGGATTGCGTGGGAGCCGTATTGATCGATGTAGGTGGAGGATGTTGGCGATGGTTGCGGTGGGCATGCGCGCTTGTGATCGTACCGGCTGGTCGGTCACCAAACAGGAGGCGGCCAGAGGAGCTCAAAATGGAATTCCCAAGGGGTGGTCAAGTAGCGATGTACTACTGGAGAGCCTCGAAAAGCTGAAGTTCCCACGGAAGCGCTTGGGGGTATCCTGAAGTGGTTTGTGAATGGGAACAACATCTGAGCAAAGAAGTTTTTTCATGGAAGTTAAAGTACTGTACGGACTAGGAGGAGGTGTATTTGCAGAATGACCTCCAAGAAGGGTCCACAGGAGCACGAACAGGTCCTTCTCAGGAGGGTAGAGCCACGGCAATTGCTGCAGGAAGTCGTTTATTAGTCATCTAAGACCCGGCTGGTTTCATTTCCGATAAGAAAAGTTGGCCTTGTGGATTCCTGTCCTCTTAGTCACTTTAAATTTGAAGCGCTTGACATTTCGGGAAAAGAGAAACTGAGCGATGATTGGTGTACTGTATTGATTTTCCAATGAACTTTCAATACCCTCCGAATCTGCCTACAGTTCATTTCACACCGCTCTTCATTAGTCGGAATAAGTTTTTACAGTCTCATCTAATTCTTGCCTAGATTGAATACCTTCTATTATTCGCCGTATCCACCAGTCGGTTATGATGTGGTAGGGTAAGGGGTATAGGCAGGGTCAACCGTCTTTGTGAAATTTCCC